CATACGTTTCATTGAAATCGTTCTTCTAGATTCCATTGAGTAGAGTCCCAACATGTTTAGCTCAGTTCTGAGGAAGGGTCACTTGGCCCGAAACGTTAACTCTAATTTCCCTCCACAAATGCCGCCAGACCTGTTGAGCTTTTCCAGTATTTTCTGTTTTTGAGACAGTCCCTCTGTGGTGGGGACCATCCTTCACTTTCTGTCAGGAGAAGAGCCCCAGACAATACAGCACTTTAGGACTGCCTAACATTGTGAATGGTGCTATGTAAATCTAAGCCTTTATTTTTCTTTTTAATTTGCCGAATGGGATATTTGGTTTTACTCAGTGTTCAAAAAGATTGCTATAATTACTGCTTTTAAGGTGGTAACTGTAGAATTGAATGCATGTAACCTTTATCAATATAACATTTTTTGGTCAGGAGCATTTCTGAGCCACACCTCTGGGCTCGAGAGAAAACGGACTTCAGTATAACACGGTATGGAGCTGGAGGAACACAGCAGGCCAGGCAGCATCAGGGGAGCAGAATAGTTCAGTATGGCTGGTTTGCCGAGAGTTTGGCACTGGAGCAGGAAGCCAACAGTCACCTCACAATGCTGTACCTTTTCCAGAAAATAGACCATAATCAATGCACCTTTTAGTATCAGCCAACAAGGAAAGAAATAACACTTATTTATTTTTGCGTCTATCTCTGCAAACTCCCATAGTATTTGACAAAGAGTGAATGTGAAGTGTCATTCCTCCTGTTGTTCAGGCACCCAAGATTTTGTAAGCTGCAAGCTCCCACACGTAGGAAGATGAAGTGGCTGGTTTATTTTTGAGGTGTTGGTTAAGAGGACAACTTTGACCAGGGGCACAGAGAGAACTCTGTATACCGCATAGTGCCATAGATAACCCAAACACTTTCAGGTCTTCTGACACAAGTTACTGTTATTTTAGCAAGACTATTCATGTTATAAATTAACAATCTGGATGAAGGAACTGAGGGTATTGTTGCTAAGTTTGCAGATGACACAAAGATAGCTGTAAGGATAGGTAGTATTGAGAATGCAGGGAAGTTGCAGAAGGACTTAGACAGTCTAGGAGAGTGGGCAAAGAAATGGCAGATACAGTACAATGTGGGAAAGTGTGGGGTTATACACTTTGTTAGGAAGAACCGAGAGGTTGTTTCCTAATTGGAGAATGGCCTCAGAAATCTGAAGTGCAAATGTTCGTGGGAGTCCTCGATCAGAATTCGCTTGAGAGTTAATGTGCAGGTTCAGTTGATATTTAGGAAGGCAAATGCAATGTTGGCATCCATTTCAAAAGGGCTAGAATACAAGAGCAGAGATGTACTGCTAAGGCTGTATCAGGCTCTGGTCAGACTGCATTTATAACATTGTGAGCAATTTTGGGCCCTATATCTGAGGAAGGATGTACTGACCTTGGAGGGAGTCCAAGGGACATCTGCAAGAATGATTCTAGGGATGAAGATCTTGCCCTATGAGGAGCAGTTAATGACTCTGGGTCTGTATTTTATGGACTTTAGAAATGTGAGGGGGATTACCGAAGACTGAGAGGCCTGGATAGAGTGGACCTGGAGAAGGTGTTTCCATTAGTAGGGAAGACTACAATCTGAGGGCACAGGCTTCGAGTGAAGGGACATCCCTTTAGAAATGTGATGAGTAGGATTTTCTTCAGCCAGAGGGTGATGAATCTGTAGAACACATTGCCACAGAGGGCTATGGAGCCCAAGTCATTGAGTCACTTTAAGACTGCAGTAGATAGGTTCTTGATTAGTAAGGTGATCAAAGGTTTGGGGGAAAGCAGGCATTGAGAAACATCTAAGCATGGTCGAATGGTGGAGCAGACTTGATGGGCCAAATGGCCTAAGTCTATGTTACAGTACCAGTGGAAGGTCCACGGAAGTTGGCTGAGATCCAGATATAGTGGATCCTGGGCTTTGCTGGTCTCTGACATAGGATTTTACCTTAGCTGGAGACTCTATTTGCCTTAACCTGGGTCCTTGTTCTCACAGGAGACAGGAATTGTGATGAGCGAAGGGGTGACAGGTGTTAGCAATGGAAATTTCTGTTAACATTGTCTCAGCTGGTATAAAGGTGGTGAGCTCTCCATCTGCATGTGATAACTACCTCCTGAACGATGCTGGTGGGGTTGATGAGGGCAGAATGTGGGGGGATGAGGCCGGGGTTAGTGGGGTGTTAGACTATACTAGAGAGTATCTTCGACCTCTGAAAAACAGATGTCAATTTGTGCAACTTTCTTCATGAAGCCAAAAGCTTTTTATGTTATGTTAACATTAGTTGCAAAGGGACTGCGTGCGTCTGAATGGTAACCTAGGATTCAGCTATAGTGGTGTATGCAGGTGTCAAAATACAAAGGGGAACCCATCTCTAAAGTCCCATAAATACCCCAAAATATTCCCTCACATGGGCAGCCAAACAGAGACAAATCACCCCCCCCCTCCATCTTCTATTAGTAAATAAAAGGAGACAGTGAGGAGCTGCTCCTCCAATCACAGACTGGCTCTCTCCTGTGCTTGCTACTGAATGGTTCACAGTAAAACAATCAGCAGTAAATGGGAAAGAGAACTAGCCTGTGATTGGAGGAGTGAGGTAAGTGATAGTAAGACCAGAGGTAGGAGGTAGGAGGTAGGAGGTAGGTCACTAAAGCTGGGAAGATTCTGAATGGAGAGGGGTAGGGAGGCTAAAAAGAGGGTAAGCAGTTTTCAAGCATTCAACATGGAAAATTCATGTAATCAGATGTTGGTTGGCTGGTTTGCAATGAAGCAATCTGCCCACAGCATGGGTTCAATTCCTGCATTGGTTGAGGTTACCATGAAGGACTCTCCATTGTAACCTCTCTTGCCAGAGGTGTGGTACTCTCAGATTAAAATGCCACCTGTCATCTCTTCTCTCTCTATATATACTCTCGCCCTATGGTCTGGTCAGATTGTGCCGATGTTACCTTTACTCATTCAAACTGGGAACAGGAACATTGGGATAATGAAATTCTGGTAAATGAATGTGAAATCACTAGATTAAAGCTGTACAATTTCATATGGGAGGATAATTTATTGAATGTTATTGTAACAACACTGTCAATTGTCTAATTTAATACTGAACATGTTTATTTCATAGGGATTTGCATTTATGAGTTATCACATCTCAGAGCATCTGACATACTAAAAATTACAAAAAATTAAGTGGCTGTGTTAGAAACAGTTAATGGTTTAGCTGTTGCCTTACCATGAAGGGAGGGGTTATTTGATGTGATAGCTTTTTGTGTTTGGAAATAATGTTCAAAACAAATTGCTGCTAACTTATGCATGTTACTCTGTGCCAATGTATATACTGTGGGGTCTAAGAAATGAATGCTTTTCTTGTGTGTTGTGGCTTGATGTTTTATGGAGCAGTGATGATTCTTGGGAATATTGATGAATTCTTCTAAATCTGCTTCTGTGTGAGTCTAAGTCTCTCATACACCAACACAATACCGAGGGCATTGTTACTAAGTGACTGAATCACCTAAAGAAAGAGTTAGTGAGACAGAAAAAGGAGCCCCTGAAAACCAGAAAATAACCCTTGAGAAAATCTTAAGAGGAACCCTCAGGAATAAAAATGGAGCCTTGGATGTATGCATCCACTGGACCTGCATTTTACATGAGGGATTGGGCAGGAGCCTCCGAAATAAATTGCTGGGATTGCTCCTGTGCTAATCTGTGATGTTCAGCTCAAAACTTTCCACTATCTTATTCCATAGAGTGGAGGAAAAATCATTGTCACTCAGACTTGGAAGCCTTCTGCCAAACTTATTCTGCCATGCAGGATTTGAATTCAGTTAAACATCTGCAAGATAAATAAAAACCGAAAGCACTGTGGTTGCTGTAAATCAGGAACAAAAACAAAGTTGTTGGAAAAACTCAGCAGGTCTGGCAGCATCGGTGAAGGTAAAAAAAGAGTTATCTGCAAAATAAAGTTAGTCTCAGCAATGATGTCCATGAAACAGCAATCTATCTGGTTCACTAATCCCCTTCAGGTAAGGAAATCTGCTGTCCTAACCTGGTCTGGCCTCTATGTGACTCCAACCCACCACAATGCGGTTGACTCTTAACTGCCCACTGCGGTGGCCCTAGCAAGCACTCAGGTGTCAAGGCGTTTCACCCTTGCCTTCTCAGGGACTGTTAAAGATGTGTAATAAATATCCTGTGAATTTAAGACTTAAAAAAAGAAGCTGGTTTTCCTTGTTTCATGCTGTAGGGGAGTACCTTGTCTTTATTGATCTCCTTCTTCCAGTGTTTGGCAGACTGGCATTTCACTAAGACACATTGGTGTGATCTCATCTTATGCATCTCTGGGCTATCTCCTCATTGTATTAACTTGAACTTGAGGCAGTAAAGTAGTTCATACGAAGAATTAATGGAGGCCTCCAAGGTTCTGTATATTTTCGCTGTGGCTTTGTTATCTTTATGCCAATGACTGGTGAATGAGGCTGTGTTGTCACGCCACTCTGATGAGAAGCCAGTTAATAACATAAAGCCAGTTAATAAGTTGCTCCAAATCGGCACAGCATCATTCCTTTGGGTTGTGAAATGCATATTGTGCGGCCGCATTGTTTTCTTAATGTCACCCTTGCAAAGTATAGACATTCAAAGAAAAGCTATATTTCACAAAGCCTACGTGCTGAAAGCCAAACCTGACATTTAACGAACCTCCAATCCCCTATCACTGCTATTTGATTGTGGGGTTAAAGGCAGAAATAAAGTGGGGTGTCCATAGAATTCTGAGCTGGTTCCCTCTCGCGTGGGTAACGTTGTGAAACATTCCTAGTTAATGTTTGCTTTGGTGACTGATTCATGAGTCGAGTCCAGGCAACTTCAAGTAGACAGGAAGAATCTGTTGCTGATTTCCAATCACTTGGTTTTAATTCTCTGTGTCTATTTTTTTCTCTCTCTCTGCTTCTCCACCCCAAACCTTCCTTGTCCCTTTTGACCCTGGACCAGACCCAAAGCCCCCAAAAGCCCCCGTGACGAATTCGTCGAACACTGGCCTCCCGTGGCCCGTGATCATTGGAATCCCCGCTGGTGCCATCTTCATCTTTGGTACCATCCTCCTCTGGCTTTGCCAGGCAAAGAAGAAGCCGTGCACCAGCCCAGCGGCGACTGTTCTTCACCGGCAGCAGCAACAGCAGAGGGACCGGGGCTGTGTACCGGATAAGGAATGTATTACCCCCATCAACTACGAGGAGTACCTGGCCCAGCAGCAGCACCTCCTAGCGCCAGGACCCCCACCACCGGCCCCGAAAATGTACCCAAAGATCTACACGGACATCCACACCCACACGCACTCCCATGTCGAAGGCAAGGTCCACCAGCACCAGCACATCCACTACCAGTGTTAGCGATGGCACCTGCTGCATTTCACAATCTCCCAACAAGGGGAAAGATCAAGCAACTTCTCTTCGTCAGCCTCCCCCTACCTGTCCCCAATCTCTCTCCCTCTCTCCCTCAGTCACTCACACAGACACGCACTCACAAACACCACACACACTCACGCAGACACGCACTCACAAACGCCACACACACTCACGCAGACACGCACTCACAAACGCCACACACACTCACGCAGACACGCACTCACAAACGCCACACACACTCACGCAGACACGCACTCACAAACGCCACACACACTCACGCAGACACGCACTCACAAACGCCACACACACTCACGCAGACACGCACTCACAAACGCCACACACACTCACGCAGACACGCACTCACAAACGCCACACACACTCACGCAGACACGCACTCACAAACGCCACACACACTCACACAGACACGCACTCACAAACGCCACACATACTCACACACGCCACACACACTCACACAGACACGCGCTCACAAACACCACACACACATATCCACACCTACACACCCACACACACTCACCCAAACCCACACACCCACACCCACACACACAAACACCACACACAGACACGCACACACAGACACGCACTCACAAACACCACACACACACAGACACGCACTCACAAACACCACATGCACACAGACACGCACTCACAAACACCACACACAGGCACACACTCACAAACGCCACCCATACCCACAGACACGCACACCCACACCTACACAGACACACACAGACACACACGCACAAACACCACACACACACAGACATACACACACACACACACTCACAAACACCTTACACACCCACACACATAGCCATGCACTCACAAACACCACACACACACAGACACACCCTCACAAACACCACACACATAGCCATGCACTCACAAACACCACACACACACAGACACACACTCACAAACACCACACACAGAGACACGCACATCCACCCACACAGACCCCTGACGCACAAACACACTCACATAGCCATACACACAGTACCCTCCCACACACACACACACCCACACACAAACATTCACACACACACACATACACACATTTACACATATGCGCACCACCCCCACATCCACACACATACATGCACACACACTGCCAGTAAACTGAAGGTTACCTGGCAAAAGACCTTGTTTCAAGGAATTTGGGAGGCAAGAGTGGAAAATGGAGCTAGCTCTGAAATTCCTGTGAAATGAGAATGTACTTGGAAGCAAGAGGAACCGAGGTTGCAGGGAGGATGATTCAAGGTGATATTTTAGAAGCGATTCATATCTTACTAATAGATTGACCCAAGGCGTATTTTCTTTTCACAAAACAAAACTGCAAGGACTGAATCATCTCACACTTCACAATCCCAGTTGAAACACCTTTCGAAATGAACCTAACTTTTGGTGCACAGTCTATCTAATTGAATCATTGCCCCAGGTACTGAGCAATGACTTTGTTTTGATAAATTATATTAAAAAAATGTAAACTACTTGAGGTATATTTGAATACTGTGAGAACTAGTTGGCCTATGCAGTTAAATTCTCTTGACACAAAGATACCTTATCGACAACACCAAATAATATTTATATATTATATATATTTCAAAAATAAGTACTATTACCTGGAAGTTGAACAGGGAAAATATATTATATTTCCAATCATACGCATAATGAACCCTGTGCTTGAGAAAGGCTTCACCACTGGTTAGTGCTAAATCAATGTTAACTGTGTTTTGAATAAAGTTGCTGTCTACATTAAGTTCCTGGCTGACTTGATATTCAGGATTGTATAGTCTATGCTACCATATGAACGTCTACTGGACACTGGTGGAGACCTTTAACAATGAACCCCACAAAATAACTATGTCTTGCCACTGCCATTACAAGGGAAAAGAACAGCGGGACAGTGCTTCGAATGTGAAACAATATGAACCGTCTTGGTGAAATATTTATTCACCTTTGAAGGAAAAGAGCAGGCTGTTCTGTTTCATTTTCACCCACTGTAGAGACACTGGACAATCAAGGAGGAAAATTAATCAGAGTCCAGCAGCTAACCTCTTCCAGTTCCTCCTGGTGGACTGACTTGTGCCTGCTTTTATCTGCAATCACATTTTTCGGTTCTGTACAATCATGTTTCAATGATGTTTTAGCAAATAGGATCTCAGTAGTGCCTTGTGTGGATTAGAGAGATGCTAACCACAGATATAAGCCTTTTTTTGTTGTAAAACTATATAGATTCTAAACAGAAAGTCATGTATATTTAATTTATTTTGTTAAGTGAGAAGAAAAGTGTATCATATTTTCCTCTAAAAACAGGTGTTTCGATAAATATATTTGATCAAGGTGAAATTGAATTGTTGCAGAGTTTTTACACAGAAACCCTACACAGAGTACATTGGCTGTATCATTGTTTGGCAAGTGCAGGGAGACAGTGTGTAATATTTTAATGTAAAGCCTTTTTAATTCAGAAACAACAATTTTTTTGTATTCTTTATATTGATAATCCTGTATAGGCTGCCCCATTGTTACCAGTAGCTTTTCTTTTCATATTTGTCATGTTCTGAACGCACTTGTATTTTGTTTCAACATTTCAAAAAGAACTATTTTATTAGGAAGATGATGTTATGACGTTATGGACTAATGCTGCACTCTTGAGGAAAAAGATCTTGATGTTATATTCCTAGAATATCGTTTATGCTGTTTCTTGCCATTTTGTCTCTTAAAAGATATTTAAACAAATTAGTAACCACTCTAAATTGCAATGGGAAATTAATACAAGTGTAATGTGAGCATGTGACACTGTCGAAACTAACAAAAATTTACCAAAGCATTTTCCAGATTTACAGCTTGCCCTTATCACCTATTTGTACTGCAAGGTGTTCAAATGCTGTTGCCACTGACACTCTATGGGAAAAACTGAATTCAGTATCAAGTGCCATCGTAGGTGAATTTCACTGAAAACCTTTCACTCTTGGGAATGGCAGACATTACCCATTGACCACCTTTTCAAGATGGACCATTGGTACCTGACCCATAACCATGGCAGAAATCCAGAGCTCATTAGCTCCTGGTTATTCATGCCAACAATGGCAAATTACAGCCAAAAGATAGTGAGTAAGACTCAAGCTGAGCCAAATGTAGCAATACATACAGGAAAAACACAACTACAGTCTGGAAGAATAGTTGGAGCATGAGAAGTTCCATATACCGTTTAAAATGGAAACAACAGAACCGATGCCTCTCTTGCCTGCACAGACTTGTCTACTCATTTTGTCTATCAAAACATTCCCTTTGATCAAACCATGTTAGATCTTAAAAAAAACTTTCTTTATTCTAATCTGTTAAACCAATTCAAAAATAATATTAACGGACAGATAAAACAGATCTCTATCGATTTAAGAATAATAGCAGATTTCTTTCAGAAAGCACATGGCCAGCAGTTTGAAATTTGATTCCAGTGATTGTGTAATGGAAATAATTATTCAGCAATACAGAAGTTCTGATCATTTGAAACGTAAACAAATGTGCAGATTGGTCTCTAAGTCCCCATGGCAAAACAACATTCATATTCAATGCATTCCCTTTTATTCTGGAAAGTGGTGGTGTCAGTAAATTCTTGATCAAACTGTCAGATCTAAGTCTTCATAACTAGGTGTACCATTCCTGGCTGTTTGGTTGAGAGGTGTCTCGTAGAATAATGTATTCAACTAAAATGTATTTTAAAAGAATTCTGTTTTTTATTGAAAGATGGTTTTTAATTTGTCAAATTCTAGAGACAAAACCACATTCAAATACGTTGTGACAATGAGGTGACCTGAGAGTGAAGTTAGCTCATAAGTAACTAGAAATGCAGGTTTGAAGTTCTGCGATCCATTCTTTAAATGTGCGTCAATAATGGAAGGATTGTGTGTGTATGTCACAACTTAATATAGGCACACATGAAGTCATCTTGATTATGATTTTGTGGCATATATATTCTCTAATCTTTTGAGCACTAACACCTCAAGTTATGCTTGAACCACCATGTTCATTATCTCTTCGCAAACTGATTCTTTTGTCAAAACTAAACTTAAAATGATTCACTGATCATATTAAAGATGTTTAGAATGTAGATAACCTGGCTTTGAAGAGCTTAAACCCAAGTTGTGAATTCTGCTTATTCAGGATTTAGCTAGCTTTCTATGTATAGGCTTTGCAATTTAATTTTACAGCAGTAATGTCATTGTCTCATAGTATTTGGAAGTCAATTATTTTGTATGTTATCATTAGTTATATACTTAATATGCAGCATGTACGTAGTACGCACCTAAAATATCTGGCACAAAAAAACAATTTGAGGATTAATAGCCCTCTACCTGGCAGATCTTAATACATTTCAGAAAAAAATTTCTAAATAGAATAAGTACACACCCTATATTTAATCTAATGCTCACTTATTACCAATTGCTGTTATAAGGGTGAAAATCCATTAAGTTAATGTCTTGTAGTTTTTTTTTACATAGAATGCAATCACCTTGCAAGATTTGTGCTCTGTTTTATTTCCAGGGTCGTCTACTTTCAGTTTTTGTAAATGCCTGTTTCCCTTTTCCTTACTGTGGTATAGCTCACACTGCCAATGTCAACACAACCATTTGAGAAAATATACATTTAAAATTTTGTATTATTTATGTATATTTAAATGTAGTCTGGAATGATTCTTCAAGGGAGAAGCCCCTTTCATTCTACAGAAATTATAGTCATAGCTACAAATTGTCTTCATAGCTACGTTTTTTCGAGCTCCTTGAATGGTCTAAGCTGAAACCTGAAGAATTGCCACAGAATAAAGTAAAGAGGGGTACAAGAACCATGGAATCATTTCGCACCAACTTATTGTGAGGAAGTTGGAAGTCAACGGGATGTTTACACAATTGATATCACAGTTCTCTTTTCTCCCATTTTCTGCTCCATTTGCTCACTTCTTACTTTTCATGCGTCCACCTGTGCCAGTGAATTTCTCACTGATATTCTGATGTTAGTCAGGAAGATTATTTTTCTTTTCACCTTCTGCCTGATCTGACAAGGAGCCTTGGTTCAATTACTGGTCTGCTGTCTAGTTCCTGTCTTGATCCTTCCAAAACACCAGGAGCTAACGTTATTTCTTTGTCCAACTTAGAA